TTTTTCGAAGCTTCAGCCAAGAATAAGAGAATACGAGAAAAAGCCATAGAAGGTTGCCAACGAGTGCTTTACGCATGCCTCAGACTCACGCAGTATTTTCTATCTCTGTGCTTGTGGTCGAGCTTATGTAGAAGCCGCTGGCTAGAATCGATTATACGAAACATCAATGCTACTGCAGAGATTGCAGAGACATGAGTATTTGAATGAACTGAAGGTTAGTTAACAACTCCTCAAGTGACCACCAAATAGCAAATGCTGCTGACCCCATATTTTTGCTTATTTTAAATAGATTCTCATCAACTTAATTACAAATGAATGGTTGTGAAACAGGAAGAAGAATTATAGAGAATGAAGAAAGATACGCAGAGCGAGAATGCTTGAATAATTTAGGTATGCAAATCTGCATAACAAGCATGTCCTATAGCATATTTCAAACATTAAAATATATAATAATAACTATATATGTCAGTACGAAATGAATAGCTGACATACAATAAATTATAGATATTATAAAAACCTTACAAAATAGTGAATCAAAGTAGTAGGAAAGAAAATAAAAAAAAATGGAGAAGGTAGACTCTAGTCATAAACATATCAAGAGTAAATAAATGTAAATGAGCTTCATCTCGTACAGATAGCTTTCGAAAGCTTCAAGATATCACATCTGCATGTGTATCATATAGATGGTAGCTTTACAGTAGATACTAAATGTTAACAAGAAACAGATGTTATGAAGCTTAAGCTGAGCTAAAAGATCACAATCAGTTTGAAAGTTATCGCATACATAGCCATCGTTATTCTCAACAAACGTTGATGAATATTTCGAAGAAAAGTACATACAGACTGACATAGCCAGATGTTTTTAATTTAAGCATCTAATTTCAACTTAAAGCTTCAATTTGATATAAGAAGTATGAGAGCATTAGATTTAAAGTATGCTACGATTATGCATGTGATTTATGAAAATGCCCTGAGGAATATGTATGAAAATTAAAGAAAATTCCAAATCCATGAGAATCTTTGAGCAACACACACACACACAGACACACAATGGATAAGAGAAGAGAAAAATAGAAACTCACAATAAAACCATAAAAAAAATACAAAAAAAATGTTAGCTTATACATCTATGCCTCTTTTAGAATAATCGTTCTCAACATACATGTTTACAATCTGAACGAGTGCTGTATCATAAGATGACGGACAAAACAAAATTACTAATGGTGAAGCTTCCGGATGAATTTTGAGATATCGATCAGAAGAGAAACGACTACGTGTATCTCCGATTAAACTTCAATTTATAATAAATCTTCTCATGATGAGGGCATCCATAGTTAACATTAAAGGAAATAGGAAGATGAGACAAACTGAGCAGAGCATCGAGAGAAAGAGAGAGAGAGAGAGAGATAGAGTGACTCTTGCAAAAATATGGTGAGAAAAGAGAACGAAACTGATAAATCAAAATATAGCAGAGTTGCAAGCTGAACGTGTATCAAGAGCTCATAGACAACTCATATCATGACATATCATGGGGCGATTATACTATTAGCATGAATAAGCTACTGACAGTTCATAATCAAAAAAATAAATAAAAATGAACTAACCTTGGAGGTTTAGGTGGTGCTGGTGAGGATGCAAATGGATTTCGACTGTCAAAGAATAAGCTCTCACTGAAGGATGAAGAATACCCTTCAGATGAAGACTGCCCCGTTCCCGTGAACGATAATGAGGGCATCTGAACAGATAAATATAATTTTTTCATTCTCTTTTCTTTTTGAATATAATATGATCATTAAATATGTTTTGTTAATAAACAATATATATATATATATACATAAGATTAATATAATTTAAATTATCAACTCAATCGAGAAGAATAAACTCTTCACCAACTGGCACATGAAAAGAAAAAGTCAATATATTAACTAAGAATTTACAAGTTATAACATCAAAAGCTGCAACTTTCTTTCATTGCTCTTACATCTCTAACATCTTCTTACACATTCCTTTATCTGACTTCTCTCTTCTAATTTTCGCAAGTTTACATCTTTCCATTTTTCTTCTTGCAAAACCCTCCTTCCTCTCTTTCTGTCTACCTCTTTATCTTTTTCTCTCTCTGCCGATCTCTCTCTCTATCTCTCTTCTTCCTTTCCTTATACTCATTTTAATACATTGACCTCGTCTTTCTCCAACTTTATATTCAAAGATATAAAACTTTTCAAGAAAGAATATTTTCAATCATGAATACAATACAAGCAGTACAATCATAAGCTCACATCACTAATTAAGATGACTATGCAAGTTACACATGAACTAATGTTGATAAATATGAAAAAATCCTTTCTTGTCTAACGTTTCGTATAACATTCACTCACAGTCATTTCCTATTGATTGTGAATGAGACAAAGAAAGTTCTATTTTTACTTACATTTTCTCGAGAAAAAAAAAAAGAAGAAGAAAAAAAATTCAAAAATACAATTTCGTCATTGATCATTCTCACCTCTCACACTGAGCTTTATTGCTTCATCTCTCTTTAAAGCAATATTTCTCAATTAATCAAACAGTGGAACAGAAATTATTCTATAATAGTCAATCAAACTTCAGAATAAATCAAATAATCTATTTGTTTGTTCAAAATATCGTCAACCAAATGTCTTAAAGTTAGAAAAGATGTAGTTTAGACCTTAACTACTACTGGCTACTTGCCAAGCAGATTGAGAAAAGAAAAAAAAGGCGCATTGATTCCCTCTTAACTATCTAACTGACTGCTTGATGACTAATCGTTATAAAGATATAGTTATTGAAGCAGCCCATTTGATCTTATTGAACCACATTCTTTTTTTGAAAATGGAGTAAGCTTATACTTTTTGAACAAAATAACATTCATATGCTCATTCTCTTTATACTCTTTCTCTCTCTCTCTCACTCTCTCCCTTATAATATGAATCGATAAATGATTTTAAATTTTCAACATTAGAAAATGGCTCATTAAATAATATCATAATAATAGTTATGAAACAATGATAAAACTCACTTTTGCATAAAAATCATAAAGCGAATCATGATGTGGTACATTCATAACTTGTTGATAACTGAGTTATATGTTAATTTGATTAATTATAGTTTAACTGAAATATATATGAATGAGTAGGTAGAAATTTAGAATAGAAAAAGCAATGAAAACAATGATATTCGCTCCTTTTCAGGCATGTACCTGCTGATAAGAGGAATGAAGACAAGAAGCAGAAATGACGTATTTCAGTATCTAATTCCATTCAGCTTTCTCGTAGTTGTCCCCTCTTTTATCTGATATATTTTTCATTTTTGGAACAACAAAATAATGAAAAACATTATGGGTGGCAAAATGATCGAATTGATCTCATTGTGAATTCTAGAAAAGGTGTTTATAATTGAATAGTATTAGATATAAGCATATAAGAATAATTAATTATGCAAACATCTTTAAATAACTTACTACATTGAGAAAGAAGTGAGAAGATGTGTTGCAATATCAGAGACACACACACACACACAACCGACCGGTAGGGTGTTGGAAAAGTAAAATGATGTCTGTGTTTTGGAATGTTGAGCATACGTATACTCGACGTGGCATCGCTCACTTTTTATGCAAATGAAGTAATTGTCTACTTCCAACAGAAAATGTAGCTTACAAGCATCATCAATTATTTATTGATTGATTTCTAAGAAACAAAAAAGAAAGATCAAACAACACAAATGGCTATGTTAAGAGTGTAGAGAGAAGTACGATCAATTGAATTGAAATGGAAAAGAGAACAGAAAACGTCTTGTTATTCACATAATTAGGCATATAATATTGCTTACCATCCCAATCATTACATAAAGTTGATTGACAACATCTTGTGCATTCTGTATAGAACAAACCATATCCTCTTTCTTCGCAACCTTAAACTCTTTAGCGCTATAAACATGTTTCAACTGAACTTTAAACCTTCTTCACAATGTTCCGAGCAATCCCTTTCAACTAGCACGAAGAATCCATTCAAATTCGTCACTGTTGACTGGAATACACATTTTATGAATTTTGCCACAATCGATTAATTATCACCATACAATACTTCTCTCGACTGGCACATATTCTTCTCATATCCGTACGTGAGCCGAATTTCAATTTATTCATACAGTCCGGATTCTGATTAACGTATTCCATCATATCTTTCTTCTTCCGAGAATGCACACAAAAGTTACATTGGAATTGTTCTTCTAACTCCGGTATATCCTAAGACCAAATATTACATAGATGATTGCTTTGAAAAAAAATTACTTCGATTTCCGCTTCATCTTCTTCTTGACAGTAAGTTAATAAAAATAAACATAATAAAAAGGGGGACCTATATAGCATGGTATGGGAAGCCTAGGTGAAGCTAGGAACTCTGCAGAACCGCTTGTTACCACAAAAGTCAATAGGCATTTGAAAGGAAAGAATTAATTGAAGGGCTGTCTCCAACGCTTTTCAGTATGTTCACCCAACACACAAAGACCCCGTAGTTAATGGATTCTCAAAAACTTCCAAGCCTTTGGAAATTATTACATTTCAATCCTGTGAACTCAAGTTCAAGGATTCAGCTTTTCTGGCAAAGCATGAAACGGAGTAAGGGGCTGCCGTTTCCGTTCTTAAATGAGCTTTCGTATATATAATATGATTCAAGTATCCAGGCTATTCCATATCAATCGACAGCATAATCGAACATTCGCTATATTTACCCGACTTAGTTCTAGACAACTTTCATATTGATCGTGTATCAAAATATATATCACTGCTTTTACTTAACAAGTCAATCAATCCATTTACAATGTACTGAGCTTCGACCAAAAGATCTCGGCTGGATTATAGAACTTACCCCTTGACAATAAATAAGAAATAGCACAGCTAATCACAAAAATCTGAAAATGAAAAAAACAAAGTTTCATACATGAACTTAGAACTCGGATTATAAACAAGAAACTTTAAGAAATATTATTTAGAGCTCGTCTTTTTCGTCTGTCTCCTCAGTAGGAGGAACTCCATCCGCGTAAAGTTTGCTGATAATAGGATGAACTTTTCCTTCAAGCTCTTTCTTCTGTTCTTTAAGATCATCTACAGAAGCATCCAGATTGGTTTCAAGCCACTTGATGGCCTCATCGACTGCATCTTCGATTGTTTTCTTGTCATCATCTTCGAGCTTTCCACCAAGTTTCTCCTTATCATCAATTTGATTTTTCAAAGAATATGCGTAGGATTCTAACTCATTACGAGCTTCAATCTATGCAGCGAATATAACTGTCGGAGTATGTATTTACCTACCTGTTCTTTGACTTTTTTGTCATCGTCGGCGTACTTCTCAGCATCGTTGATCATTCGCTCAATATCTTCAGGACTGAGTCTGTTTTGGTCGTTTGTGATAGTAATTTTGTTTCTGTTTCCAGTGCCCTTATCTTCAGCAGTAACATGAAGAATTCCGTTAACATCGATTTCGAATGTAACCTAGAACAATAAATATCACACTTATTAGAAATACTAAGAATTACTTCGATTTGAGGTACTCCTCGAGGAGCTGGAGGAATATCGCTAAGGTCGAACTTTCCTAATTGATGATTATCTTTAGTCATTGGTCGTTCTCCTTCGAAAACCTACAAAAGGGATTTTTTCTTTTCAGTGATATAGCGCCAGAGCTCAATGCAGAAAAGTCTGCAGAGTACGAGCCGGATAAGCAAAAACTCAGCTGACCTGGATCGTAACCGACTGTTGGTTATCAGCAGCGGTAGAGAAGACTTGAGACTTTTTGGTTGGGATGACGGTATTACGGGTAATCACCTTCGTCATGACTCCCCCAACGGTTTCAATACCCATGGTGAGAGGATTGACATCAAGAAGAACAATGTCTCCAGTATCATCCTCTCCAGAGATAACTCCAGCTTGAACAGCAGCTCCGTAAGCGACAGCTTCATCAGGATTGATTCCACGGGATGGTTCTTTGCCATTGAAGAAGTCTTTGATTAGCTGTTGGATCTTGGGAATTCTGGTTGAACCACCGACAAGAACAATCTCGTGAACTTCATCTTTTTTCAACTCCGAATCTTCAAGAACCTTCTGTACAGGCTTGAGAGTGGCACGGAAAAGATCCATGTTCAATTCTTCAAATTTGGCTCTGGTGAGTGTCTCAGAGAAATCCTCTCCATCGAAAAGAGATTCAACTTCTACTTTAACTTGGTGTTGGGTGGACAGAACTCTTTTGGCCTTCTCAACCTCACGACGTAATTTCTGAACTGCTCTGTTGTCCTTACGAATATCCTTATTAGTCTTCTTCTTATACAATTTTATGAAATATTCCATAACACGTTGATCGAAATCTTCTCCTCCAAGATGAGTATCTCCATTAGTAGCCAATACTTCGAAAACCCCGTTGTCGATTGTGAGCATAGAAACGTCAAATGTACCACCACCAAGATCGAAAACTAAGATATTACGTTCGCCTGAAAATAAATGGTTGGTAAAAAATAGTAAAAATTTACAACAGCTGCCCTGATGCAGAGCTCTCGACGTAATCAAGTATTTTTACAAAAAAGATTCTACTTACCTTCTTTCTTGTCCAATCCGTACGCTATGGCTGCAGCAGTTGGTTCGTTAATAATGCGAACAACATTAAGACCAGCAATAGTTCCAGCATCTTTAGTAGCTTGTCGCTGAGCATCATTGAAATAAGCAGGTACAGTGACAACAGCATTCTTGATCTGTAAAGAAAAAATCATTTTCAACCATTGTAATAATTTTTGACCTCTTTTCCTAGATATGACTCAGCTATTTCTTTCATTTTGACAAGGACCATAGCAGAAATTTCTTCGGGAGTGAAAGTTTTGTCTTGCTTTCCGACTTTTAATTCAACATGGGGTTTGTTACCCTTGTCTAGAACTTTGAAGGGCCAGAGCTTGATGTCATCTTGAACAGTCTTATCAGTGAAATCTCTGCCGATGAGACGTTTGGCATCGAAAACAGTATTTTCAGGATTAATGGTAAGCTGGTTTTTAGCAGCATCTCCAATAAGACGTTCTCCGTTTTCACCAGTGAAGGCAACGTAAGAAGGAGTGATACGATTACCTAAATTACATTGTTAAATCAAAAACAATATTGAAACAAGCACCTTGGTCATTGGCAATTATTTCAACACGTCCGTTCTTGAATACTCCAACACAGGAATAGGTGGTTCCCAGATCAATACCGATAATAGTTCCATAAGTTTCCTTCCTGCTCTCATCGCAGGTAATTTGTGTGGCATAAAGAGCCACAAGACCCAGTAAGAAAAGGATCTTCATGGTTTCGTTGGTTTAATACGGTAGTTCGCTGAAATAAATTAACATTGTTTGAATCAATAAAGGAATGGCGGGCATAACGAATCTAACAAGTACACAACAATCATAAGTGCATGATAACAACATGTGTTTGTTTGTTTTTTGAATACTCTTTTTGCCACAATTATAAGTTTCGCGGCAGGGCCATTTTTTAAAAATTCCAAATCTCGCAAAATTGAGCTGGTAATTACTGTTTGTTTCTACATTATAAGTTACGGTGTAAAATCTCACAATCATTCTGTAACCTGTTTTACAGTTCGTAACCGTTTATTCTCTTCTTCAGATAGTATGTAGACACCACCGCTCACATGGCTATAAGTAAAGAATGAAATATGTGAGCTTGTGCATTCATACTCCGTGAACTCAAAAACACCGCTATGCACGACCGACATACACAATTTTTTGAGATAAGAATGAAAAATATCAGATTTCATTCTCACTCTCCAAAAGCAAATATCTCGGTCTTGCTCATGTTCAGAACCTACCGCTGAGCTGAATTAATTTTCATAACTGGTCTCCCTCCTATTTTTGGATAGGAATTATCATGTATCATAATAATGTAAAGGCTTGGGTGAAATTATTAAAAGACTAATGAATAGATTTTTGAAACGTGAGTGTGAAAATGTGGGCGGATGGAAACAACGATACAGTAACTATTTTTTTGATATATTTGAGTTTTGATGGATATTTATTTTACAAGTTGCTACAACTGAAATAAATAACAAATAATAAATAATAGAAATGCTCCTCGAATACGAGAAATTTTTAAAATTATGAATGGTTTTAGTAACCCGCAAGGTGATTCAATGAGCCAAATAGAATCTTTATATTCTCTGAGTCAGTGTACAGGATTGGTGAAGAATTATTTATCCGAACATTATGAATCTTACCATTTAAAACATTCAGAATGCTGTGAACTGTTGATTGAAAATTTGTACCACCCGTTAAAAATTTTATCTGATAATAATTAGTCTAAAACTCATTTCATAAAATGAGACTTACGGATTCCTCATCGAAAGCGATGAGCGGTGTGCTCAACACTCTGGGTGATTTTCCAGGTTGTAAACTATTGGGATGATCTAAATGCACTCAGCGTAGTTCTCAACTACACGAACTACATGACTTACCTGGCGCTGTTATCAGGTTCTGTTGTTTTAAGTTATGATTGAAATAAGCCATCGCATTATTCAGGAAAAAACCATGCCGGCTGTAAATATTACTACCAAATCTTCAAAGAAAAATTGGAAAATTTTCAAAACATTGCTTGTACTTATGACCAAGGGAGTTTGTTAGAGCTACTGCCGTTCCTGCTTCATCAATGATTAGGATTGAGGATGATCCATCACTCTCTTCATATATCTGGAATATCTTATTCTATTTCATCGCATGACATGGAGAAGAGTCGAATCGAATTGAAAAGAGATATACCAAAGGTGTTCTTTCTCCTTTCCTTATCCTATCGAGAACAGCTTTTTTTGCGTTATCATTGAGTAAGTAAGTGGACATATCTTGTAGAGATGAGGAAAACAATGAGTCTCCAATTATCTGAGAATCTTTAATCAATAAGGCTATAATTTCGTTTGTGTGTTGAGGATCATCTATAAGTATTTTTGAAGGTGTGATTCGAACAGAACGATTTAAAGACCTTTAGCAGCCCTAAGAGCCAGTTGAAGATCTAAGTAAACTGACGGAAATTGAGGACCACAAATGTTAATATCATTATGAAGATGTGAAACGAATCCCTTTTTCTTTTCCGATACATAGTCTTCAAGATCTTCTGTTGTTAGAAAACCTCCTTAAATTTTTTGTGAGCTATTTTGCTGATGTTCAAAACCTTTGTCTTGGATTTCTTTAATTAGTTGTTGACCAACAGGTCCTCCTTTGTAGAAATAATCTACTTCATCTTCATACTCAGAAATCTCCTCTAGTGTATCAGCTAGACTAGAACAATACATAGTGTCGTTCTCTTGAAGAACTTGACGACTTTTTTTGTTGATAAAAACATCTCTGAAGAGTTATGAGAGAATGAGAAACCGATAGAAGCATTGAACCTCATGAAAGGATCTGAGTTGATCAATGGAATCTGCTTTTGTAACTCAATTGCCAGATCTTTGCTGACACGAATACCTTTTCTAAAACCATATTACTATTATCAGAGACATGGAGTATGAATGATTTGCCTGCACATCTCAACAATGGGAACTATCAGAGTCTTCCATGATAAGTTTTTCGATGCATAATCTTGATATAATGCGAATAATCCACTTAGGAACCCTGGTATTCCAACAGCTCTTGGTCCTTAAAAAATATGTTGGTAAGTCATTCAAAGTCCATCAAAAAGTAAACAAACCTTTGATCGCTTCGGCTGGCTGTCGTGAAAAGTTGCTGGCTTGCGCTCCTATCCCCGCAGTTTCTCTTTCAAATGGGTGAATTCGATTTCAAAAGCAATATTAGTAATGAATATACCTTGATAAGACAGTTTCGCAGGATCCTTTCTTCATGAGGACGGCAACTAAGCCTCCTCCCAAACCACTTTTATGAGGATGAACAGCTGATATACAAAAAGAAACTGTAATAGCGGAGTCAATAGCATTTCCTCCTCTTAGTAAAATTGATCTGAGTTTTTGAATCATTCAAAGAAATTTGAGTAAACGCTACCGTCCCAGTGAACTACAATGTGCATCCTCACTGAAAACAGCAGCTTTAGGGAAGTTAACTTCTGATGAGTTTTCCAATTCTTCGCCTGTAATTGTGCTTAGACTCAAAAAATAATATTTTGATACTTGTTGTTTCCTTAGGTTTCTTCCAATCTATGCTTTCTTTTTCAAATGATTCAAAACTGTCAATGTGTTGCGATGATTCTACATATGCCGCGGCTTTAGAATTTCGTAAGCGACTCGTAATCTTAAATAGTTTAGACCTAGCTTAAAATAAAACTCAATATTACTAAAGGTCGATTCAGAAACAGAGTGAATATAATGAGAGAAACAGCTACTAAGACAATGAACTGGAGCATCAACACCAACCACTTCAACTCTTTACTGAAACTTTGCATGTGTATAGTCAGTGATACTCTTAGTACATGTATTCAGGAATCGGCTTTCTAGCAGGTTCAGTAGTGCAGGGAGGTTGTAATTTTGGGAAACCATTTTCCATAGTGATGGTTATATCGGTAGATGGATCTGGAAGGTAATTATTACCAGATGTTCGCACAGTATGATTACAAAAATTAAAAAATATGAGGCTACAAGTCTGCTTGAGCATAATAACTTACTATCATATGAATAGCCGAAATAGGTCAACGACATGTTCTACATGGGATGATGAATGACAAATGTTTTGCAAAAGGAAAGCGAGAAGCATTGTTTTACAATGACAGTAATCCCTTTTCAATGTCGCATTCTGTTTACTAGAAACAATGAGTTAGCTGCGCACGAGCTAAATTTGGACACAGACGGTTTTTTTTCAGCAAAAAGCTGGAAGCCTAATTTTAATGTTGTTAAAGTCATGAAGTGCATGAATGGTGTTTAAATCTTGGCGCGCGTTTAGCGTGATTCATATAAAACGTAAAGTCATTTACATAATGTTGAGGACGCGGAACGGTTGAAAAAAAAATGATTGAAATGAGCCGAGAAATTCAAACGTATTATTGAGAAGTTCATTTGGCTGCTCCGTTAGTTTAATTGACCCAGAGGAGATTTAGATCTCAAGTGGATCCTCTTCTTGATTTATTTGATAAACATTTATTGGTCTATATCCGTTTTGATTAATGTGTGAAGTCGTGTTTTTGGATATCATCATGAATAATCATTCTCAATAATTACAGGGGGTTCTATCAGCAGATCGACAATACCAAGTGATGAAGGGATTTTCCGTGAGTTTTATTTTTTTCTGATTTCTGGACTCTAATAATGCCATACTGACGGTTCATGTTGCCTACTCTCTCACTCATCAGACTATTTTTTTCATAACTGTTCCATCGAGTATTTACCTAGGGTCGTAGATTTCAAACGGTTGAATGGAGAATTAAACTGTATATGCCTTGAAGACGAGCTGGTTATAATACTTCAAGCTATTTACTTTTCTGCTTACTATTGTTGTTACTGAGAGCACGGTCACTCTGTTAGAACATCTCCTGCGACAATTTTTGTTTCATAACTAAATACAGTTCCCACTTCAACTTTTAATTCATCAGGTTTTCTGAAACCTTTCGTTAATACTAATCCGTCCTGTCTTATTGTCCTCTTCCAGCAGGAGTTTACGAGAAAGAATCGCGTCAACTTAACTTATTCTCTTTCCTTTGGAATGCATAGTTGTAAAAGACATTTTATGTTTTAATGCCTGTTGAACCATTGCGATTTCAATACTTATCGTTATCGCCTCCCTGCCCATAATGATTCAAAATTTTAATCGATCTGTTTTCAACCTAATGTTTATACTTTTGCTTTACTCTTCATGATTCATCTTAGTTTGATCATTTCGAAGCTGTGAATATTTAGCTTTATTGCTTTCAGAATGATATCTGATGATCGCTTCACCGATACTATTTCTAGAAAAACTAATGTACAAAGTGCTATTGAACGTTTCGATCAAGATCGTCCTATTCAAGTGAAGCCTCGGCACGCATATAATCAAGGCTTTAATAGCGATGTTAATACCACTTTGAGGAATGCAACGCCACCTCGAGATAGTTCTATTGAAACGTCACCTGTAAACACTGCATCATTCAACTCTATTAATTCTTCTAATCTGACGAATCATCCTCCCCACCCTGTTCCGGCTCCTCGAGCAATTTATAATACTGAGACGGCGGCAGCAGTTACTGAAAGAATGCCTATCATAGGAAACAGCCAGTTTGTCCTTCAAGTCCCTGGAACGATCTCTGAAGATGATGATGATATACACCCTACTTATTCTAATATTATGCGATCTAACTTGCCTGCAAACTATGGAGCTGGAATCAAAGGACTAACTATGATTCCTAATTCTTACGAGTTAGCTTACGAGCCGCCAATCGTCTCCTCAACCGAAGACCAGCAAGTTTCGCGACCAACAGTTCCATCAACAGGCGTAAACATAATAGAGAGTCGTCCAAGTCAAGCAGAACATTTCCAGCTAGCATCTAGTTTGATGGTAAGTGCTTTAATACATTTACAACTTTTAAAAGGAAAGCAAGAAGTTTCTAACGGTGTTCAATTGACAGCAGTAGTCCATTGAATCTTCCAGTGCTTGTCGCAAGTCAGAGCATCTGTTGAAGATCTATTGCTTCTCTTGACTTGAATTTTTCTATTTACCATCGCATTTCACGTGTCTACCATTCTGTTTCGCGCCTTCTTTTCATCTTCTCTTTTATGGATTAAAGACTAAAACAATCCTAATGCTTAAATTTGCGAAGGTTAGTCCCATTACTTCTGATTCTCTGACGAGTTGTCGGTATTGTTTAATTGACCAATTGCGTTCAGTTGATACAAGATGTTTTCGCAGATGAGGAGAGGTGAATGAGCGCATTTTGAATTGAGCAAATAGCTTTCATGTCTTTTGAACGTCAAAACATTCCTCTGTCGTATTTCTTCTGCGCACCATAGTAGGAATGTTTGAATATCGATTGATGGCTATCGGCGCCGCTCAGCCAAGGACTATACTGACACACTCACTTTCTATCACAATATTTATTCGTTTTCTCAAAACTATTCCAATTATAAACTGTTTTTTTTGTAAAAACAAATAACAACAGTTGTAAAGCGGAGTTTTGTGTTAACAGTTGAATGATATACTATCTTTCTTGTCGTAATTAGCACTTTGGGAATTCTTTCATCTAGTGAAATATTTGAAGAGCATCAGTTTGCTACGTATCTTATCTTCCTTTTTTTGTTCGTGGTCGTAGAAGTTGGTACCATTTACACAATTTTATATTAGGGTTTTGTGTTAAGTGTATGAGGTTTTAAATTGACATGATACCATTTAACAAGGTAAGGCTCTCATATGAACTTTTCTAAAATGCTTGTTTCAGAAGTTGGATCCTGAACAAATCTTTACACGCCAAGAGAGGATTGGCCGAGGGTCCTTTGGAGAAGTTTATAAGGGTATTGATAATCGTAATGGACAAGTAAGCCTAATACCGTTTATTCCTTGGATTTTGTTGTTTTTCAGGTTGTTGCTATCAAAATAATTGATCTTGAACAAGCTGAAGATGAAATCGAAGACATTCAGCAAGAAATTCAGGTGTCTAATCTTTGATATAAGTATTCTACGACCAAAGTCTTTAGGTCCTCAGTCAATGTGATTCCCCGTACGTTACAAAGTATTACGGAAGTCATTTGAAGGTTTTCGTTTTTCGCTTTCAATCAATATGTTTGACATGTTCAGGGAGCTAAACTATGGATTATTATGGAGTATTTGGGTGGAGGATCAGCTCTTGATCTAACTAAAGCTGGAAAACTTGATGAAAGTCATATCGCCGTAATACTCAGAGAAATATTGAAGGGTCTTGAGTACCTTCATTCAGAGAAGAAGATACACAGAGATATAAAAGGTTAGTTCATTGTATAATAAGCTGTTATGAATTGGGTTAGTGAAGGTGCCAATGTATTGCTTGATTCCTCCGGCCCTTCCATAAAGTTAGGAGATTTCGGTGTTGCTCGTAGTCTTGAAACCATTAGTGGAAATAAAGCCAGAACATTTGTTGGAACTCCTTTCTTTATGGCACCCGAAGTTATATCTCAGTCGCAATATGACGAAAAGGTTTTTCTTGAACTATTTCCTCATCTCTGTGCAAAACCCCTTGTCCTATGTTGTTTTCTGATTTGAATGTTTGAACTGAATTATACGCTTCTCTCATTACCCTCTGTTCAGCTGCCAATGTCCTCGTCTCGGAGCACGGAGATATTAAAGTTGCTGATTTCGGAGTTGCTGGTCAACTTTCCGAAACTGTTAAGAAACGATTCACTTTCGTAGGGTCACCTTTTTGGATGGCTCCCGAGCTCATAAAACAAGCGAGCTACGATTATAAGGTTTGTGTACCATTAAATGTCGCTCACTTACCTTTGTTTATCATTCATTATGTATGTATTTTACCTGTGTTCTCTTTAGGCTGATATATGGTCTCTCGGTATTACGGCAATAGAATTAGCTAATGGAGAGCCTCCACATAGTGATCTTCATCCAATGAGAGGTTTGTTACATCATTTGGAATAATTCCATCCTGTTTTAGTATTGTTCCTCATCCCCAAAAATGATCCTCCCCAACTGACAGGAAGTTGGAGTAGAGCCTTCCAAAACTTTGTCGAGCAATGCCTGAATAAAAACCCCGATAATGTAAATTATGCCCATTATCATAGTTAATTGAGTTCTTATTCTTTCAAGAGACCAACTGCTAGTGAACTATTGAAACATGTTTTCATCAGAAAGGCAAAGAAGAACAGTATTCTAGTAGATTTGATAGAACGAGCCGCTGAATACAGGTACTACAGTTAGTGTTGTCAGTTATAATCTATCTGTTCCTTTAAGAGCTAGAACGGGAGTTTCTTCTGATAGTGATGTCGATGATGACTCAGATGGAGGTACTGGATCCAGCAGCTGGGATTACCCAACTGTTCGTGGTCCTAAAACTAGAGAAAGGTTTGTCCATGTTCTTCTTCTTCCTATTCCACTTGCATACTATTGATCATTTGTTGAGCATCACCATTATTTTTAAGAGATGAAACCGTTAGGCAACGTGAAAAGACTCGTCCTTCAATACATAGAGACCCTAGTCCTGGAGATACTATTGTAAAAGTACAGTTCACCTTTTCCTCTGGTTTTTTAATCTGAGTTTTAAGAGTTCTCCTGCCGTCTTAGCAGCGGCTGAACAATTACGTCACAATAGCATAAATGATGGCAATCGTAAGAACTCTGCTCACGTCACTGTTCCAAATAATAGGACGCATGGAATTGCTGGCCCTACTACCATCACATTAGGAAGTCCTCCTAGCAGTCCGGTACGATATATCAATGCCTTTTTTTTTAACCATAATCTTTCTTACAGAATGCTTCTCTTGCGCGTAGTAATCCTCAACCTTACCACTCTTCTCCTTCCTCGTCAACAAGAACTGCTGAGAGAAGTAGGCCACCTTCTGCAAGATCTCAAGATTCTAGGTAATAGTAAAAGTGTTATGCATATTCAATTTTTTTCAAGGGTATCTGATGTGAGAGAACCTCCAAAGAATCATGTTGAATATCGCGGGTATGACAGACCTCAGTACCAATACGAGGAACCTGAGAAGCCTGTTAGAAAAGAGGTATAGTTCGTATTCAATTTTCTTTTATCATACGAAATTCCAGAACTCCCTGAACTGCTCATTCCTCCCTGCTCTAGATAAGCTTTCAAGAACGCGGCATGCTAGAGCAGAATTAGAGTCTTTAGCAGGAGCCTTACGACAAGCGGAACAGGTAAAATTTGATACTTGATCTTTTTTGTAAATATCCATTTCTGTAGGCTTCACCTGGAGTATGTGATCAGTTGATCACTGAAATTCTCAAGCGAATAGCGCACCCTCAAGCCAATCCCCATGATGTACAAGCAGCAATCAATCGATTAACCACGTAAGTTAAGAACTTCAGTATAGTCTTAAAAGAAGTATTTCAGTCCTCAAAATTAATTGCTCACTTATTTATTAACAACCTTACTTTGTTTCTGACAACTCTTGTTATTGGACGAATCACAGAGCTATAGTGTGGCAGCTTTATTTGAATTAATCTATTTTTTTTTGATTAGCATCTTATTTATGCTAATCTGCTCATCATTCACATCATACAATTCACTTTTGTTCATACCCCGGCATTTTAGAGTAAAGCCAATAAGTATCATGAAATTTTGTTGATCATTCTATTTTGCTAGTATATGTCGTTACCGAAATTCATCTGGGAATTATTATATTACATAAAGTATTATAAATAGAACAGTAATGATACAAATAATAAGTGCAACAACATCTAATTCTGCTTATTACGAGGCGTATTCGCCGTAGCTTCTTGGATGGAATTTGATGTGGTTACCATCCAAAGGTCTAATGATCAGTTCTGCTGCTACTCTCATATGATGCGTTCTTTTCAGTGATTCAACGCGCAAGTTTTTCATAATTAGAGCTAATATACATTTTTCCTCCATAATAGCGAATCTTTGCCCTTCAATGACATGGACTTGATTTTTCAAAATAATCCTGAAATCATACCTATACAATTACGGCTTCCGGCGGAGAAAGGAATGTAAGCATAAGGATGCTTCAACTCGCCGTCAATGAAACGTTCAGGTCTGAAGATCTGAAAAAAACGTTTTATGAAGCAATTGGTTTTGTATTTCTTAGACCTCTGGATCGTCCCAGTATCTTGGGTCTTTTTGAATCATGGAAGGGATGATAACCACACTTGTTCCCGCAGGTATTATTAAATTGTTCTCTGCAAAGTATTTTCGTTGCATGTCGAAGCCACAAAAAGTGACTCACTCAAATGAAGATCTTCCACGCATTGTCTAGCTATGATGGGTACGGAAGGATAAAGACGGAGCGTCTCTTTAATACATGCTTCTAAGTATTTAAGTTTTCCCAGGTCTTCATAAGTGATGTCTCTGTCGAATTCTCCAATGACCTAATTTGGAAGTTTTAAGTAAAACTTATTCAATACAAACCTCGTCTATCTCTTTATGTACGTTAGCTTGGACCTCGGGGTTAGTTCCCATCAAATGCAAAAACCAATTCATGGCTGCTGATGTGGTATCATGTCCCTATAAGAATACCCTCTACAATCGTAAAAAAAATATTCATACTTCGAAAGTGAAGGTGTCTACTTCTTCTTGTATGCCTTCAACATCTAGATCGCCTTTCACATTCATATCTAACATTAAGTCGAGGAATGCCATTCGTCTCCTTCCCTCAGCTGTTTCTTGCTCCAGTAGCTTCTGAACTCCTCCTGCGGCATCGGCTTTCTCTTTTCTTGCACGAATAACCTTAACAACAGAATAAGATTATTATGTCTTCTCAATGCCTGTTTCTTTAAACAAGATAGCTGAACGCTTGGGTAAGCTTGCTTTCCTCAAATACCGAAACTTTCACGTTTTACTCGTCTGTGCAGCAAAGTTATTTCTTAATTGTGGTTGCGCAGACCGGTTGCTTTTTTTCACTTCTTTCCTGACTGGGGGGGGGGGGGCAAGGTTTTACAAAACTTTGTCTTACGTTTCCAGTGAAATCATGCAATATTTTAACATTCTTGTCTTGGTCCTTTCCAGCTCCGAAAGTGTAAAACAAAAAGTCTGGATAGTATTGTGGTTTGACCATTCTTTGTTGAAGGATATATTTCATTCTAAATGAGATGTATTGGAACTGCTCATGAATTTGAAACGAACTGAAACACTGCTTCCAAATAAGGTGAGTTTGGTTTTCTCTGGGCATCTATGCAAACACCAAGAGCAGCTTCACAAATGACATCTAAGGTACAATAGGAGACTGAAAAAAAGAGGTTAAATTGGATAATATTGGAAAACTTACTAGTATGGAATATATCAGTGAAAATATCTTTTTTGGATAACTCCTGGAACTTTTCTACCAACGTATTTCCATGTCTGTTATATACTTCTACGAAATCCTTGAGAATATCATAATGGAAAGTTGGAGTAAGCAGTTTGCGCCTTCCTCTCCATTTTTTCGGTTCACTTCAAGATGATTTTTGTCATGAAGACTGAGTTGGGATAACCTAATAAGAAGTCCTTGTCCAATCCAGACAGATAGGAATCCGTACTGTAAGGTCTTGTTTAACATTTTTTGGCTTCCTAGCACAGCTTCAGCCTCATCAGCTCCATACAAAAGTACAAATGGAAGACCTAGTCGGAAAATATTCAGGCACATAGTTTTTGCAACAAACCTCCAAGCCAAATTCGGCATGCTCTCTCATCACCGTTTCTCAACATATAAGATATACCTTGAGCTTGTTCGAAGAATTCTGAAAATCAAATTGAGTTGGATTCATGAAGATATTGCGTTACCCTCTGGTCTCAAATGAAGTTGATGAATATTTCCGAGACCTGGCAAAGCAGCGGGGCCTTGCATGGCTGACATGCGGTCATAAATGAGCTTTCCCTATAATGAAGTACTGTTATAATATAAAGATAGAAGCCAAAATACTTTTGTGTATAGGAAGTGACATATCCATGTCGCTATACCAACGAATACAGCAACACCAACGAGACCCATCTAAATGGCAAGTCTGCTTGTCTCAAATCTTAAGTTATCTTGTTTTGTGAAAGTTTAAATAACATTAAAAGATATAAGAGTATTGGTTTGACCTTTTTGTCAACTGCAAAACGCAATGCAGGAAAAGATCAATTGGATAAAAGAAATCATCATTAAAACTTCGTTAAACAAGTAATCAGTACCAATGTTGGAAGAAACCAAAAAAGGAAACGAAAGTTCCGCTAACTGATACTAATCTGTCTTTAAAACATTTAATGGATCAACAACTGAACTGATGCTTTAAAATAAGGAACATTTGGTAATATTTCATTAGTGAATGAGAACATGAGAATAATTGTCGGAGGGCCATATACGAATACTCAGGTGATTTTGAATACTGAAGATAAAATCTAAGCAGGTTAAACAGAAATGTCTTTCTCTTGCTAGATATTCGATATCCTCTCGTATATCAGAAGTTGTTCACGAAAAATTTTTTTTGTAGACAAATTACAGGGACGGAAGTATTACTAGCTGAATATCGGATAGTTTGCGGCTTTGCTAATCAGTGGCAGCAGTTTAACTTAAATTGAGGTCATACGACTTGTAATATCATGTTGTTCATGAAACATCAAGAGATGAAATCAATTTTCAAATCTTGTTTTCGTCTTTATTGAGAATGATGTGATCTTTCTGCAGAGGTCAGTCTTTGATGAGGTTATGAGGTTCAACAGAAAGAGGGTGAGAACAAAATATAATATTTGTTTCTTTATAAATAAGAAGAAGATCAACTAAACTGTAGTTAAAAAGCAAGATGTCAATGGAATGTGTGTCGAGAAAGCGACGAAACAGTTGGAAGTCCAGCTCGCTTCAGAAGACAACTTTCTAGCATAGATTACAATCTCTTTGCCTGTTTGACCACTTGCAGACGAATCTTTCGATAAGGCTATCTTTCATCTCATTCGGTCTCCGCATTTGTTTTTCCCTCCGAATCTGTTTTCTCAGTTAACTCTCTTTTCAACCTCATACTCTTCTTCCATGTTTAGTTGTTCTGGAAAATAGGAAGAGGGATGGCCACGTAGAGTTCGTACTAGAGACGTCACCTAATGTCTTGCTGATCACATGAGAACATCGTTCTTAGAACTAATCGGAGAACAATTTTATTTGAATTATGAACAATGTTTTATTAATCCGTAAATCATATAGAATATATATTTAAATAACTCTTATTGCACTTTGTATATCACGTTGTAACAAATTAAATATGAAAGTCAGAAGGTTCTTCACTCTTGCTGACGATTACATCCGAACTGGGTAACAGTGAAATTGAATTGTCGGATAGCATCCAGACCACACGTTGATTGCACCAAGGGTACCATACAATTCACGTATAATGAGAAGCCATCACACTTACGCTATAACGTTGATTAAATGGTGAATCTTGCTGTAAGCTTACCTTTCTGGTTGAAGTTACACTTCCTCTGATAAATCTTGAACATCCGAAGGAACTATCGACACTCTTTATACCTGTGAAACATTTTATGTACTCGGCTTTCTGGTTCTACTTACAGGAATAATATTTCATGAATGTAGGCAAGTTTGGTGGAGAACACTGATAGCCTAGATAATCTTGAGCAGCTTCTAACTGAAATCTTATATAATGAATTAATAAGAGTCTAGCTATTTACCATTTGATCTTTCAAGCATTTCTTTATTTGAGTAACTCCGGCACAAAGGAAAAGATTTGCATACCCATCGCATAAATCAAGCATTTCTCTTGGAGTGTATGAATATACAGGGAACGTTATCTGATAAGTTATTTAATATATCTCTCAGATGAACTTACTTCGGATAGAAGAGGCTTTTTCGAATGAATCCGTAACCATGTGGATAGAAGAGGGGCCATACATTCTCGAACCTTAACAAACTATATTTTTGAAAAACCTGAGCAGTAACCTGATCTAACTCCGTTTTCGGACATGCTGGTGTTGAATTAGTTTCGTCTATCAGCTCGTTCTTGTTTATAGAATCTTCTTCAACTTGTTCTACTAATGATAAGGTTGTGGATATGCTTGTAGTCGTTAAAGTTGTTGTTTCGATGTGTTGAGCAGGTTCAGGTTCCGTCGATTCCGTGTGTGACGAATTATCCTCATCACTTTCATTACTTGATGTGATTGTATTTGTTGTTGATTGCTGACCAGATGATTCGCCAGATCCTTCGACATCATCTGATGATATCGTAGTCGCCGCTGGCGTAGTAGTTCTACGAGTTCTTCTGGTAGTAGGTGCGAGAGTGATGGGTGGTTTCGTTAAATAATCTAAACATTTGAGATTGTTTAAGAACCAGTATGATGCAGACTCACGTTTGAAGTAAACCGTACATCCATATCCACGGATCATTTCTTTAATCAGAATTATAGTTTGTTTTTGCTCCAAACATACAATGGATGATTGGAGACAATCAAAAGCCTCCTGTTGATAATCGCATTTAGTTTGGTTGTTGTTTGAGCCCAAGAAGCGCAGACAGTTCTGAAGAAAAAACTTCTATATTACACAGAAATATTTCTCTTACTGGGTTTTCATTGAAACTATCCAATAAGCATTGATATTCAGCTTTCATTGAGTTGATACGGAAGCATACATTTTCCAGCTGACCGGAAAGAAATTGGAGTATTTGCATCTCATAACAAGGTTGCAAATGTTGTGAAGCACATTTGGTAGCTTCATCATACAACTTGCACATTGATAATACACCCGGAAGTGATATGTTGAATAAAGGAAACCGAGTCTGAGTTGATGAGTCTCCATGGGCTGCTAACGTAGTTAAATCGCTGAAAAAAGAAAGTACGATTCGAAACTATTTTTTTAAATTACTTGATAACGTGCTCAAAACATGAATTAATAACTTGTTCTTTGACCGGAGTACAAATTTCAGAATCATCGATGGTAGTTGTTGTTGTTGTAATTGTAGTAGATTCAGTAGTGACAGCAACTTCTTGCTCAGTATTTGTGGTTGTATTGGAAATACTAAGTGACGAATTTGAAAGGACAAGGGTTTCAGAGATGGCTACAGAAGGTTCCGTTGAGTTATTCTGAATTTCTAATGTTTGAGTTAGGCTTCCTTTTGTGGTCTCGTTGTTTTCTTGGCTAGAAGTATTTGTTTTATCCTCGAGCATTGATGCTGAGAAAGCGAACGGCTGGTCATCCGTCAAATCATTCAGAGCATTGAAACTCTCATCGAAGTCTTCAGAACTTGCTGCTAACTGAGAATTAGTAGTTATTCCTTGTGACGCAGTTGTCGTTGAAGCAGAAGTTGCGGAGGCTGTTGTTGTTGATGGCTCTGCTTTAGTTTGCACTTCTTCGGATATGGAAGGAAGTGACGTAGTAGTAGAATCTACTACAGTTGAACTATCGTTTCGGGTGTTTTCTGATGATATTTCTAAAAATATCAATTTAAATATCATATAGCTAAGGACGATAACGTCACCGTTAACCTTTTGATTTACGGAGATCTTCCAAATTCGCTGGTCGCTCCAACAGCACAAAGTCTTAAAGATGAGAAGACTTCCGTGGGTTGATCAAGATACACTGTTACCTTCCAAATACTGTTGCGTGTATTTGCCGCTTTCATTGATTTTCTTCAACTCTGTTAAATCCATTACATCTAATAGAAGAAGTTCAATCTAACTCAAATCAAATCTTCAATACCACTTTCTATTTGACATCCGAAACTCTTTATGGAAGAACCAACAAGAGCTGTCGCCAAGCTTCCACATGAAGAGTTCAAAGATTCTTTGACGCAGTCAAAGTATTTGGGTAAGCCATTACATTTATCTGAAGAAAAACATATGATCTCTTTGCTATTCGTCTCACGACATTACCTTTATCATTCATAGGATTAGGTATTCCAAAGATTGTTTGAAAGCATTGTCTATTCTTCAGAAGATTTGATGAGATACATTCGAAGTTTTCTGAAATACACCATTTGAATGAGTAAGCCGAACGAGAATCGTGTAAAGAACAACCGCATTCAAACAATTTTGCTCATCAAATGACAAATACGTATTTTTCACGTGTTCAACAGAAATTAGCATAAATTACCAATGTATATGGGAAGATGAGTTCCACAGTAGAAATCCAGATGTGATTGTACGAAAGATACCATTGGAGATTGTCGACAACTATAATTATATTAATTATAATATTAATATCTTTAAAAGCTTCAACCCAAGCTCTCCATCAACAAAGCATTTTGTTTTCGTTTCAATATATTCATTGCAAAGCACTAGAACAGACTGTTTGGTATAGAATGGAACCTTAGAATGAATTAAAAGAATTCAATTAATTTTCTATTTGAACTTACGGGAAATAGAAGATTGGCTGCATGACTTTCCACATTTCTCACATGCTCCCAGACATCGAATAGTGAGCGAAGACAGAATCCGATGGATGATGTTGCACAACTTGAGAAACCTTAAAAATCAAAATGTACGTTTGAACAGTTGTTTGTTATTCATTTCATTCATTTTTTTTCTCAAATAAACAATCACTAACCATAACATAGAGGTATTAACGTCAGTAGATGTGTGATTATGTAGAATATTATCATTGTATGTAATGACCTGAAGTGAGGAATGGAAGAATCGTTCAAGAATGAGATGAGATGAGATGAGGAGACTTGAACTTAAGGATTGTAATGACTTCAAGAGGACTTGTTCAATCATTCATTTATAGAATTATCTTTTTAATAACCGGAAAATGAAATTTTTATAATTCAAACTTTATATTTTTTTCTTTTTTTTTGTGTTCAAAATGAAAGTTAAGATGGACAATATGAGACAAATGGTTAAAACTGAATGTTTTTTACGGAAATTGTTCGATTTGAAAGAAATTGTGATCGTGTCAGAGTAACAGCTTATGCTGGGGCGGATAATAACTTGTATGCGTTTGGTAACAGATCGGTATGACCCTATTCGGATACTGGTTAAGACAATCCAGCTAGTTTCTTGCTTTCTCATCTCTAACGATACATGTGAAGAAAATTTCTTACTTTAATGGATATCTAATTTGAGCTTTTCCCTTCTTCATATCTTTGTTGTTCATTTCCATTTCATTCGTTCTTTCTCTTTCTCTCTTCTTATCATCTAATCTTTTTCAAGTTTTTGTAGGTTATTTCCCGTATAGTCTTCATGCCTTTCAACTTGATCTGAACAATCACAATTCAGAGAGGATACGTTGGATGTGTTTGTTATATGGGGTTACATGAAATATTATTTGATTGTTGTTTAGTTACTTCACAATACCTCAAATGCAGTACACTGTATATGTACATTCCGTATTTAGTGCAAGATAAATCCAGAATTCAACATTTTTCATTTCATTGGATGATTGACAAGAATTTTGAGAAGAAGAATGTTTTTCGTCGTTTTCAAATGCTGCAGCGTGCATGTGAGCTTCAATGCAGTAAATCAGTTAAAAAAAAATTTTGCCTCCCTCGCAAAGCAAAAAAAAAAACTATTTTGTATATGTAAAACATAAATGTTTATTTTGAGCTAATTAGTTCACGTCATTGACGCCTTGTAGGGCTTTACACACGAGAAACACATTTCATATGCTTCATTTTCTATCAGATCATAAGTGACATGATCTGAGTTACTTGAATCTTTCTTGAATTTCCTTGTTCGTGATTTCATCGGTGTCAGGTGCAACAACATCCCGTCATATTATGAAAGAATAAATTACTTCTTATCAAATAAGAAATTAAAATCCACAGCTTTTTTTAGAAAATGAAAAACTGAAAATTCTGAGTCATCAAGCTGTCTCATTAAATCTTTGCTCGATTAGCTTCCTCATTCTAATGAACATTGATTTTTAAAGAAAATATAATGAGGTTTCTTTTCTTGTACGTGCTCAGCTCGAAACTTTTAATCTGAATATGGAGCATGAAAAGATGATGACGAGTAAAAGGAGGAGCAGCATTACTAAATGGATGGAGGGTGGAGGGAAATTCCAATTCTTTTTTTCGGCTCAAAATCATCAGATTCATGCAAAGATGGGCCGTTCTACCGCTTGTGCTCTGCAGTGACACAAAGAAATTTTGTTTATTTCCTCATATTTTGAAATCATTTTTTATATAAATATTATTACTTGCACATGACTTCGGCATTTTATTTTGGCTGCATGAATTGAGGAGATTCACTACGAATGTCATTTTTTACGTTTTTCTTTCGAATTTACACTGATAGTGAATACGTGTTGCCAATTGGCAACCTTATGATGTATATGAAACAGTTTGATGTGTGTGCAGCTATGGAAAAAAATATTTATGTTGGTTTTGAGCTTCTGCTCTTCATTACTTAATTCATTTTCCTTCGAACATAAGTCCTGAATTTTTCATAGTTTTCTTTCATCGAAAAGTATCTTCGGCAGAAAACTTTGCTGATCATGAATGAGTTCATTTCCGATATTACCTTTGCTTAGTCAGTGACTTCTTTTCTTATGTTTCTTTCAACACGTTTTTTTTGTCAACGTTTTTTTTTGTTTAGATGAGATCTACGGTTTGCTTTGTTCTTGTATGGCTTTGCCTGTTTTCAGCTGCTGTTGACGCTCAAGGTTAGTTTATTCCACCTATCATTAGTTTTACAACTGAACTAAGATTTTTAAAGTACATAATCTTTGTTATTAAGGATTGTTTGGGTCATTTTTGGGAGCCCCAGGAATGGGAGGACCAGGAATGGGTGCACGCCGCTTTGGCCCAGGTATGGGAGGTAGCACCTCACAAAGTATTCAGTATAGAGGAGGTTAATATTATTTTTTTTGAAGAACATAAAGATATTATAATGACCTCAGGTTATGGACCATATGGCAGTTCTAATGGTTTTGGACAAGGATACAGCCGAGGATTTGGTAAATAAGGAAAATATCTCACAATTGCTGAATTACTTTAAGTTAACTTAATAATAAATATTTCGTAACGAACACAGAATAGATTTTGTTTTGAATTATTCAAATGAATGCGGAATGTGTTACTTTGGTTTATACAATTGTATTCTGAAAAGGAGAGCTCTTATTTCAAAAATTTTTACTTATTGAAACTGACCCACCATGATAGAATCAAGAGAAAGTTCCAAAATGCTTATTAATTCATTGAAATGAAAACATTTCGTGAAATCTTTTCTTGTTTCTTTGATCTCGTTCGAATTATTTCTATATCATCAATCTCATTTATTAGAGAGATAAGACTTTCACTGAAGAACATGGGAGATTCGAGAAAGGCTAAGTGAAACTGTTCGTGAACACAAAGGAAGGGATGATAGAGACAACATCATATGAAGAAAGGTTTTTTTTTGGAATAAATTTATTTAAAATTTGAAAATTGAAAGGAAGATAGAAGGAAGTCAACCGTTCTCTGCGTCTGCAGTCAGTAGAATGAGATTAAAGAGTCCACGTGAAAATGACGTGACTACGCCTACTGCGTCATAAAGAATTTGTGAAAAAAAGGCAAAACCGATAACAAATGTCTTCCCTGCCAAACAGAAAAAAGACTGTCCAATAAACTTTAATAGGAAGATGATAGACCTGTAACGTCTCTATTGATTGTCTTGAGTGTAGGAATGCACAAAAACTATGGCGAATTGCTTGATAATGCAGACAACAATACAATGAAAGGTCTTTGTTCCATCAACGTTCAGTGCACATTACAAAATAAAAACTTCTTTTTATATTTAATTAGAACAAATGAGTGTAATCAGCTCAACTTTCCAAAATAATCAAGAAATATCATAATGCATTGAAAGATCTGAAACACATATTCGCTAAACGTCATCAACCCGATGTTTGTGAATCATGCTCGAGCATGAACTACCGTCAATCATGCGGTTTTCGTCCGAAAGAAGTCAAGGTGAGAACTTGCTATATAAGGGCTTGATGGACGATATCTAAAACAAAGAAAATGCAGAAACTATTAATTCTCTTGGCTATCTGCTTCGTTCTCATCGAATTCTCAACAGCATACCCTTATGGCGGATACGGCATGATGGGAGGATATGGAGGTACGTTCTTCTCTGTTTAAGGCACTTTTTTAATAACACTTGAGCAAAATTTCAAGAAAAACATATTCATTAAAGTATATTATACTTCATATGATTTTCAGGCTACCCTTACGGTATGATGGGACGAGGGTACGGAATGTACGGCAGAGGCATGTATGGTCGAGGAATGATGGGAGGCATGTATCCAGGAATGATGGGAGGATACCCAGGAATGATGGGCATGTACCCTGGAATGATGGGCATGTACGGCAAATAAGAAGATTAAGCTCACAAATGGCCCGTTCGATCTCCTTATTATATAAATAGAAGTATTATGAATAAAAAAAAGAAATGAATGTTTGTATTC